AAACCCCCGCGTAATTGCAAAATCCAAATGCCAGAACGTAATTACAAACCCCCCCGTAATTGCAAAATCCAATCAGCCAAAACCCAAAGATTTGGAAGCGTCGAAAAGCAATGTGTACTACTGGCCTCTTTTATGGGCTATGACAACTGGAGCTCAGCTCATGGACCTGGATACCCTTAATTACGGAGGCTTGGGCCCACATCCTCGGAGGGGTGGGGGGGGGAGGAGGGGGTTTCTTATTATGAGGTGAACATTAAGCAGCGCACCTCATTCACAACAGAGTTCTTGGCTTTGCATTCCTGGGTCTCAGGGCGTGAAGGTCAAGATTTATGGACAATCCTCACTGGACTTTAGCTTCGAAGCCCCTCCAAAAGAAAGTGCTTGCCCCAGATGTCTCGACGAGAAGCTCTTCTTCGGCAGAGCCAATCGCCTTCCACAAACCCCGGCCTGATTTTGCCGCAGCTGTGCTTGTTGCATTTGACACCTCGGTACTGTAGCGAGTGCGATTATGCTGGTTTCTGGTTGAGACACGAGTGAAGCCTTCACTGAACCACAGGCGTGGAAACTTCTCGGGGTCGCACGGCTCTCAAAATTGTAGTTTCCACATTCGCAAGTCCAATCACCTTACGTGTGGCTTGCTCAAACAAGTCTCATCAGCCTGCATGGTACAAGAACTTGCTGGACTTGCCGCATGGATGTTCTGTGCAGAGGCCCGCGCCATCGCGTCTGTTGAAATTCATCCTCATCAGCTCCAAAGTGCAGGAAAATTACCAAGCTGATGGATGTGCCAGCCGGCAACCCACCGAAGCAGCCAAACATGCGGAGCCCACCGTGACTACAGACTCACCGCATGATATGCAATGTGAGCTGGACCAAAAGGTTCGGCCAAGATACTGGGGGGCACCCCCCTGTCCTGCCATGCCTTGAGAACAGTACACACTGTGCAGACGGAATATTGCAGGAATGCTTGCTTGCCATGCAGCCGCCCAGATAGATTGTGCGTTCATGGAGGCGTGCTTAGGCATGGGCTGGTGAGTATGGCCACGGCTTGTGTAAGCGCGGCAAGCGGATCATTGTCAGACCTATGGCATCCCATCCCCATGCAACAGCTGCGAAAGCATTCAGGCTTCACCAGCCCGCACAGAGTCTGCAACCACATCTCTGAGACCTGCACGCGCCACCCCAGCTCCACTCATCCCAGGAGCCTCCGCCTTTTTGGCCTGGATTGCCACCAGCAGCGGTGCCGCCATCGGAGCCACCCTTGCCGTACCTCAGAATCATCAGCAACGAGGTCAGGCAATCCCGGCTGCAGACTTGCCAACGAGGCTCGGCGATGGCCGGACTCTCCTCAAGTTTCTCTGCGCACGACACCATGCATTGGTGCGGTGCAGTGCACGGTGCACAGAATCCAGCAGCTGCACATGCAAAGAAAACCTGTCTGAGCCATGCGCGGGCCGCCTTTGGCTGCACTGAATGCCTCCATCTTTCCTGTAAGGTTGGAAGTAGTTTTGGCAGCAGCGCACTTCTGACACCTGGGCAGTGCCGGAGCTAATTTCATTGACGGCAGGGATTCAGCAATTAAGCCTGCAGTGATTCGTGTAAGTGCAGCCAGATATCGAGTCTCTGGAAGAATCGTTCTCCTTAGAACACAGTAGCAGCTGCACTTGCGTCAATCTTACGGGCAATGTCCAGGTGCAACCCAAGTGCTGTGCGGCAATTGCTGCACATCCAATCGCCAGGTTTCTTTCCTTCTCTGAGCTTGCCGCAACTATTGCAATATATGCGGCTCCTTAATACGTTGGCACGTAGGAAGCACGCCATGTTTACACCTGTGTGAAGCATGCAAAACCGAGAATGCCTCTGAGGGTCGCAAAGTTATGATTTCCGCAATCGCATATCCTGAGTGAGTAAGATTTGGCGAGCCCATAACTACAAGCTGCTCACCTGCGATGGCCCTCTCGCTGTCAGTGTGAGTCATTTTCTGGTTTGCTGCTCTTCAATAGCTTCCTTCGTCACTTGATGATGCATCTTGTGTGTGTTTTTGTTCCGATTTTTCTTAATCCGCCTACAAACTTCTTGGCTTGTCCCCACCTCCAGAAAGCAGGTCTTGACACGAAGCAATGCCGGGCGAACCGAATCAACAGCAGACAGAAGGCGGCAACCATGGAATTTGTTGGGTTTCGGGCACAAAAAAAAGACGCAACGTCTGGTGGTAGTTGCAGTAGCAGCAGCAGCAGGAGTAGTAGTGGTGGTAGTAGTACTACTACTACTACTACTACTAGTAGTAGTAGTAGTAGAAGTAGTGGTAGTACTAATAGAAGTACTTGTAGTACCAATAGAAGTAGCTGTACTTGTCACAGCAGCAGCAGCAGCAGGAGTAGGAGTCGTTGCTGTAGCAGCAGGACGAGTATGCACCCCCACCCCCCTACCAACTTGTCAGACCGCAAAGGCTACATGTTGCAATATTGTAGCGGGCGGGCAGATATTCGTAGTAGCAGTGGCTGTAGGAGGAGGAAACATAAAATTGCAGCCTGCTGTCCGCGGTGCATTGACGAAAGATAGTGAAGCTAAGCAACCATTGCCAAAGCATCAAGTTTATAGGTGTAGCTACCCCCAGGATGATTATAAAGATGGCAACTTGAAGGCATACGGTACCAGTTTGACCCAGCATCACCCAAAGAGGCGGAGAGACACTTGAGGTCAGTTGAAGGGCCGTGAAGAGGGCAAGGGTGCGAGAGGAAACTTGGAAAGAGCCAAAAAGCATCGCTCAGGGCTTCAAAAAGAAGGAGACGAGGGGAAGTGGTCAAACGCAACAGCAGGGGTGTTCGCCAAAAACAGTTTTCCAGTATGGCCCCTACACTCTAGCTGCTAGCTTGAATGCAGATGGGTTTCCAGTCACCCGGTCTCATAACGTTTGCGGCGGGAGTTGGTGCAGCCGTTGGCCCTCCATCGATAATTGGCTTGCCAAGTTCCAGCTCTGTATGCGCAAAAGCACAGGCCTGCCAGCGACAGGCCGGAGCGCGACAATGCATGACTGCATGTGAGCCGCAATCTAAACTCCTAGTATTCCCCTTAGTAACGCCTACAGTAGTCACCCACATAACGGCCCTTGAAGACTCATGTAGATTCTATTCAAGTCTGCGAGGTCTGGAGTGTGACTCTGAACTTTGACGCCCTTCTGTGCACTGGCCGCTAGCCAACCTCTCCCTTGCTGCATGTGCCATAGGGGTAGAACCTACCTCAGTCTGTGCAGAACAAGGCAACGTGTGAGGCTTTCTATTGTCTGCGAAGGTTTTGCCAACGACGGGGCTCAAGCACATCTGCGTTTTCACCTTCTGGCCCGGCAGATGTGTCCTTGAGCAGGGTCTCACGTAAACGTCACGCGCTCAAGATAAGAGCAACGCAGCTTGGCATATATCGCCGCTGGGACACAACCGCTTCACAACTCTGCCAAGTGGCGTCATTTTCAAGGCGCTTGGATCTTGCAACCCGACATCAGGGAGCGCAGGAAGCGCAGCCGCTGCGAAAGCATTTGTTTGCAGCGCTGATAGTGCTGCAGGATTCAAGGCTGCAGCTGCTAGTGCTGGGTCTGTTGTGCCAGCTGCTGCCGGGGTTGCCACAGGAAAGCTGGCCTGTAAAGCTTGCAGCGCCTGCAACTGCTGAAGCTGCAGGACTTGCAGGAACAACTCCGGCGACGTCATCGGAGCTTGGCGCCCCTGGCACACTGTTTGGCGTGGATTCTGCAGCTGTTGGCAGTTGGCAGCTCAGCAAGGATCATGGTCTACAACGCCTGCACGATTATGAATTATGCCGTGCTTCTCCAGTTCACTGTTGCAGGCAAATTGCTGAGCAGCAGTGTTGCCAGGCACCACCAGGCGTGGACCGCCCCCGGTCTTGAGCCACATATGGGCTCTTGACGAGAGGATGAAAGAAGTCTGGAGAGCAGGCCATTTCAGCTTGTGAACGGCCACCTAGACCTAGACTGCATCAACGCACAAATGTTCTGAGGCTTCAACCTCCTCAGCGTGAAGAGCGGCAACTTCAGCTGGGGCTGGTACCTACTGCTGTCATCTTCCCGTGTTTGCTACTCGTGCACCCCGGCGAATGGGGATGATGTTGCGGTGCAAGCAGGCCCCGCAGCATTGCCAACTTGAAGACCTGCTATCTCCCGCGAAGTCTGGCCAACGGCTCTCGGCCGGGGAAAGATTCCCATACCCAACACATGCTGAACAGTGTTCATCATACACTCTGCTTTACATGATCTTGAGAGCCTCCCACACTTGACTTCTTGAGGCACTCCGCGTTTGCGGGAACCAGTCCTCCTTTGGAGGCACCGGGATAACTAGAGTAAGTCTAAACAACCAGGAAACCCAAAGCCACTGAGGCCCGGTTTCTGGCTCATATCTCGACAGGGATCGTGTCCGGGCAACTCTCATAGCCAGACTCGGTCCTTCAAGGCCTGCAGTGCAGGAAACCAACACTATAGATGTTTGCAATGCGTGCTTGATTCTGCAAAGTGAACAAGCAGCTTTGTTTGCAACTTTAGGCCACATTTTGCTACACTTCCCCCCGGGCGCCAGGGCCAGGGCAAACCTTTTCAGTAGAAACCCATCGAGCTGATCAGATGATTAGTCTGACGGGGTGGCTTCGGTGGCCTTGGGCCAGTTCAAGGATGGCAGATCTCATTTGTTCTGCCGCATTAGTTAGTTCGGACAGTTGGCTTCGAATCTTGCTGGTCTGCAGCCTTAGGCCACAGACATCAACAGACCTGGCAGATCCACGCATGCGAATGCAGCTGTCAATGAACTCATCAGCATGGATGTAGTTGTTTCCATCCGAATCGAGCATCTGGAAGAGCGTCCAGGCGTCTGAGGCACCAAGCTCCAGTAGTAGTAGTAGTAGTAGTAGTAGTAGTAGTAGTGTTCGATTAGGACGGCACACTGACTCGATGTAGCCGCCCGCCGCCAGAGGAGAGGTAGTAGAGCTCGTCAACCGACCGCTCTTATCGCACGCCCCGTAAGAGTACGCTTGGCAGCGACAGCCCTCTTGAGCTCAGTGTGCCACGGCTCCGTGGCAAGCAGCTGGGCATTCAATGCCCGGTAACACCAAGCCTCGCCCTCCTTGATCCGCGCCTCCAAGGCTCTGAACCACGGCGCCACCTTCGAGAGCTGGGTGGTGGCAGCCGCATCCGCCCGGTTGTTGAGGTCGCGGCAAACGCCAGCCTCCGGCCAGTCAACAGGAGGAGTCCAAGAACTCTGCTTGCCATGCGATGGGACCCACGCCAACTGCATGAGGTCCCGCACCTGCCTGTAGCCCTGCCAGAAAGTCCAGAGCTCCTCCTCCTCAAAGTCAGCGGCGGTCCTCCTCCGAGCGCCCTGCACAATGGCCAGGTTGTCCAGGAGTACTCGCACCCGCCTTCCCGTCAAAGACACCACCTTACAAAGTGTGGCGAAGGCCTCCCTTTCGCCTGCGGCAGCCGTGCGCTCCTCGCCCTCAACCAGGCCAGAAACAACGTGCTCGCCCAAAGCAACTGCCCACGAAGCCGCCCTCCACCTGTGGTGCTCCCCAGCCAGATAGGCACCCCCGTCGGTCGCAACCAGCACGTCGTCCTCGGCCGCCGCCAGGTACCCCGCAAGCAAGCCCACCCAGTCCTCGACGTCCTGGTCGTTGGGGAAGTCAAAGCCTTCATGTCAAAGCCTACATCCGCCTCTCCTGCTCTGTGCGCCGGTCATGGCACCAAGGCTTCAACCTGCAATCGAACGTGAGATGATGCCTTGACGGGCTCGGCTCCCCACACGGGCAGTCCTTTGGAGCATGAAGGCGCTCCAAGTCGCGGCCATCAGAGGCAGCAGCAGCTGCCACTCGAAGCGCCAGCGCCCGGCCATCCCGGGCAAAAAGCCTGTGCGGCCGCAGCAAAGGGGTCGCCGTGGTTGCCAAAGCGCCAGCGGTCTTGGTGTCCAAGCTCATCGCCTCAGTCTCGAAGTCGCCTAGTGGGGTGAGCCACCAGCTGCCCTGAGTGCGCCAGCCAACTGCCGCCAGCGCGTCGTCAACCCGAAGTCCTCGACGCCCCAGCCCGCCTCGCCCAAGTCGAAGCCATTCCTTGGTCAGGACCGTGGCGATGATGGCAAAGTCCGGGCGCAGGTCGACGCCAACGAAGGTCCAAAGGAGGTAGGCTGACCGTCCCGTAGCCAAAGGCCCGCCCCAGACCGCCGCCTCCACCTGTGAAGTCCAATCCCTCACTGTCGGCCTCGCAAAACGTGTCCACGGGCTTCGAAAGCGAAACTTGGAAATCATCAGCAAGCTTGCCAGCCTCGCCCGAGTCGTCGTGTGGACCGCCACCCGCCGTATCCTCCGGCCTCGCTCCCGCAGCTCCTTGGTCACGTCCTTGGCGTCGAAAGCCTGGTGCCCCGTGAGCCGGTATGGGATGCCGAGCAGCACGAAGTCGGTCTGGGGGATGCCGATGACGTCCGCGTGCTCCATCAGGGCCTCACGCTGCTCCACAGTGCAAGCGAAGGACTCCAACTTGCCGGGGTGGAGCTCAAAGCCAAGCATGCTGTCTGCAAACGCGCCAGCCCGGGCTGCCACCTCCAACCGTTGTACAGCTCCCCGTCCTCGCGTCCAAAGGGTCCTGTCATCAAGAAAGATGCCCATGCCGATGTCGTCCGCCTGGGTCTGGACGTACCTGCTCCAAACGCCCATCATGGCGTTCAAAAGGAGTGGTGAGAAGGGACACCCCTGAAGCAAGGAGGCTCCCTGCTCCGTGTAGAAGTCCTCGAGGATCGCCGCCAGCCATTCCGGAGCGCCCCACCAACGTAGCACAGCCAATGCCGCCTGGGGAGAGACTCTGTCGAAGCACTTGCGCACGTCGGCCTTGCCCTGAGTCTCCAAAAGGTGTAA